TGTGGCGAACTTCCGTCTACAGCACTTTGGTTTTTTTCTTCTTGAAAAAGGGGAAGGAATTCCAGCGCTCCTAAAGCATTGTAATATTCATATGAACCGCAAAACAAAGTCGACTGCACGGAACAAGACACCGTTAAAGCACTACAGATCCATCCCTCGCGCGGCTAGTTGGCGCTGGCGCAGAGTTGGAGCGGATCAGCGGAGTATCGATTCTGTGCTGGCGCCAAACACCCGCGTCTCGCGGGGTCTGCACCAAGCAATCGCTTCACCCGGGCAATTGACCGTACTATCATGATTGAGTGATTAACAATTTGAAATATGAGTATGTGGTGGTCACAATAAAACGGGAAATCTTAACTGAAGAAGAGGAAGACGAAAGCATGTGGAAAGAAGAAGGACTCAATGATAAACTAGCCATAGAAAATCCCCAAAATTGGGAGCAATTTTTGACTAAGAAAGAACTTGTTTGTTTGAATGCTCTCAGACTACTTCTTAAAATTTAAACCTAGAAGCTGTTCGGAGTTTCTATCACACTTTTGCGTGTCAGTGAGGGAAAACGGCAATTCTGAGCTGTGTTCATGATTCTCGCACCTCTATGATGTAGGAAAAGAAGTTGAAAACTCTTAGTTCAGTTTTTTACAAACGAACTCTAGATTACTTTTTGGTTCGTTATATGGCCATCTAGCATTTTGATGAACACTGCAAATAAAGCCATGGCGATCATTCTTAGCACGGCTGGGTCCACGAAGTGAGCCGTAGCCAAGACTGTTTGATGTAACTCTTTCCAAATTCCCTGCAGGTTTCGATTAAAGAAGTCAAGGAATACCTGAGAAGTTTTGCTGAGTAGGTAACATCTAAATAGCGCCTGCGTACTACAACGGCCATGAACTGCTACTAGGAGGGCGAAAAGTAGGTGCTGGCTATTTTGCTTTACCATGTCTTTTCGTTCTGCCTCTACATTTGATTGTTTTTCTGTGGAGGGTTGCGGCGTCTGATAGGAAAAACTTTTTTCACCATTCAGGTGACGGAGGCCGAGAACGAAAGGTTTGCCTATGAAGTTCTATACCAGTCTTGGTCGTGGCTAAAATAATCCAGCAGATAAGAAACTTTTGTGCCATGATTCATCGAACTCGAACACAGTGCTTAGACCTGAAACAAGGAAATTTTGATAAGAGGGCGATTTGAGTCAAGTATTCGTAAGCAGGTATTTACTCCATTGCATTAAAGCAAAGAAGTTCGGATTCATCTTTAAAGTCTTCTAAAAACTACTTCCTCAAAACTGTCCCAAGTGCTAAATTAGCCTTATTCCTATTGGTACTCCAAATTTTTTCCAAGTTAGCTTCCAACTTTTATGCTAGGTCGGTGGAG